GCACTTGTTTTAACATGTATTTTCTTTATTTTATCCATTTTAAAATACAATGAAATCACAATTTCAATCACACTTAAAACGACGTAAAGAGGTAGACTGTCGAGGACTAACTGATCCTTCTAAGCTTTTTTCCTTATCCCTTCTTTCGTCTCCTTACCACCACACACTAAGCATAATTCGTCGAAATATATGGAACCTTATTCTTCAAATAAGCCAATCACAGTGATCGAATATCATTGTCAATACAACTGGATGTTTTTAAAAAGAAAACGATAACGAATACATCAAACTTATGTTTGAACATAATAAATATTCTACAAAAAAATATATATATTATTTCATATTGTTTTTAATAAAAAATTTTTATAAAAAATATTAAATTTTTTGCAAGTCAACTGAAACTTTTATAAAATATTAAAAAGTTAGTTCCAATTTCTTTCTTTCGTTCTAAATAAGACTTTGATACGAAAAAATGCCATTAGAATTTGAATCAATATTTCTTAGATGAACATTCACAATTCATTCTAAAATTTTTTAAAGTTTGGATTTTGACAATCTTGAATGGATATCAGAAATAATATACAAATTTTACATTTACAATTCATTTTAAGACCCTCTTAAAATCTTTTTTAGATTTTCGAAGAGATAGATTTTAATGTTGAGATAAATGTTAATATTAAATTCGATAATCTATTCTATATTTTGATAAATTTTAAACAATATAGATTGCATTTGAAATATATTGAATTAATATTAAACGATTTATAATCCGAGATTTTCAAATAAATTTTTTTAAATATATATATGAATATATAGTTTGTAATATTACAATTTAGATTAAATTAATTCTCATGATTATCAAATTAATTAATCAATATGAAAAATAAATGTATGTATTCAGCTTAGTTTTTTATTATTTTTCGTATTGAAATAAAAATTTGTACTGAAATAGAAGTAAATAAATCATTAAAGTTAACTTTATCTCAAATATTCTCATATATTTCTTTTTTAAATATATCTATCTATGTTCAACTCGTCTAATATTTCTGTATTTGTTTTGAATATTACGTCCAAGGCTAAAAACATCTGTTATAATATAGCCCTTCCAGGGAATTGGCAGTTCGCGTTCGTGCCACGCTCGTGCCACGCTTGACTTGTTGTCAAACTGCCGAGCAAATCCCCACTCCAATTTGATATTCGATAGGTTAAATCGCGGTGAGGGGCGTCATTCTGTTGTCGAAAATTGACGCGATAAGACGTAATATTTCGTTTCAGGTATGTGATTTCTCTATTGCTTATTATTTCTATAATTATTTTTTTACATTTTATATAATTATTTAATTAGTATGTGTTAATTTATTTATTTATTGAATATTATTATAATTAATAATTTTTTGAGATAATTTATTTTTTTCTATTTGACCAGTAATTAAAAATAACTTGTATAATAAACTTTTAAAAATGGAATTTAAGTTTTTTCGTATTATTTTAAAAAAATTGATTTTAATTTAACTTTTTTTTTTTGTTTTATACATTTATTTTGAAGATTCGATTCGATTTATTTTACTTAAATGCGTAATTTGATTGTAACGTAATTTTCAAGGCGGGAAAAAAAAATTTCAATAAACATTATAATGTAATTGTTCGATACAATGACCAATCTGATGATGACCTTTTATGCATAAATAGTAATATTTAATTTTTTGTTCTAAAAATGATAAATATAAAATAATATTTCCTTTTTAGTGAATTACTATATATGTATTATGTATTATATAGGATATATGTATTAATTAAATAATCTAATTCTAATTATTTCTAATAGAATTTTAATCTCTGTTGTCATATTTATAATTCACATATTTATAATTTTATCTTTTATTATTTCAATTATTTTAAATAATAAATAATTTTAAATTATATTTTTTTTTTTATTACAGATTTTTTTTTAACTTCTGTATTTTCTTATTTAATGAAGTTTCTCGTGATGAACCATAACAACATTGATGGTAATATTTTTCATATTTATTGAACTTTTTTTTTTATTTATCTTATTATACTCATAATTAATATTTTTTTATTATTATTTTTTATTTTTATTATTTTTTTAAAATTATTTATTACTATTTATTTATTAATAAAAATTTTCTTATACGTCGTGTTTTCGCGTAATTATTTCAAAAAATATAATTTGAAAAATCGAATAAGCTGATATGTATGCTATTTATTTTTGATTTTGCCTATGGATTTTTTAAATTTTACAATTACAATTTAGTCTTGAAACAAACGTATATAATTTAAAGTTTTATATTTGTATATATAAGTTATGTATTATTATCGTTCCATGATTTAATTTTTTTTCTTTTTAATCTACAACTAGAAAATTTCTTTTCTTTTTAGTCTACAACTACGAAATTTCGTTCAATCTAGTTCAATAAATTGCATTCGAACAAGAAAAAAATAATCAATTCATCTTTTTGTTTTTTTTTAAATCTGAAGAATGAAAAGTCATTCTTTTTTAATAATATCTAATAGTAGTTATTATGATATTTTCATAAATCATTTTCATTGATTATAATTATTATTCAATAATAAGTCGCAGATTTTTTTTAGTATTATGATAAATTTTAATTTGAATTAATGATGTAAGAAAAGATCACATTTTAATCTAGTTTTGCCATTTAAAAAATTTTCTAGTTTTTTCAAGTTTTTTCAAATTTTTTTCAAGAATATTCTAAGTTTACATTTATATTCCATATATTTTTTATTCTTTATCATATATAGATTATATAGGCAAAATTTATAAACAGATTTTTTAGTTTTTCTCTAGGTAGGATTAATTTTTTCTAGGTAGGATCTCTAGGTTTTTTATAGGATTTATTTTTGTGTAAATAGATAAAATGATTTGATTCTTTGTGACATATATTTTTTTTATTTAAATTTTTAAACTATCAATTATTTTATATTTTCATGATGGTGAAAATATAAAATATTGATAGGAAGTATTTATTTTCAAATTTAGCCTTTTATTTGATTGATACCTATTGTGACATTGTGTTTTAAAAATATAATTCTAGATTATTTACATAGATCTCATATTGATTGCTAGAATATCAATATTAGAATTAAATTTAGAAAAAAAAATCAAATTAAAATTAAATTTCTTTTAGTAAATTAAACAATTTTTATAACAAAAGTTTTTCTTACATTTTTAATAATTAAGGAAATAATATTATATACATATAAATTTATCAGATATGTTAAAAGATGTAGAAAATGTTCTGATTTTTTTTTTCAAAGTCAACATTTCACATTATTATTATAATATCCCATAAAATTTCACGTCTATTTTATATTTTATCTGTGATAAAATTTTTTTAATTTTATTATTTGTGTCGTAACAACAGATGGTAATACTATTCATAATTAACAATATAATCGACTGTTGATATGTTCTCTTGGCTACCAATGGTTAATATATTATTAGAAAAGTATCCTTGTATAACATTTTTAATCGATTCTTTGAGGTACAGAAAAATAATTTAAATAATAATCTAAATCTTAAGTTAATAAAATAGAGACATAAAATTAATCTAATATACATTACTGAAAATTTAAAAAAGTGCTCTCCTATAAAAAATTTTGAGAAAGTATTTGTAATGTGTTTGAACTTATGCAACGAATTTATTATTAAATGAATAAATGCAACGAACGCTATACAAAAGTAAGGATTGTCATATACAGAGCATCAAGATAAGCGTGACTGAAATTTCTACATTTAACGTTTACATAATGTGCACCATTTGTTGGAACCAACAATATTTTTGTACAATAGTTATTTTTTAATCTATAATCTATTGATTGTAACGGTTGTTAAAAATCAATGCAACGATGTGTATATGTACTAAAGCTATCAAGCTAATTCGAAAAACAATACATTATCCTTGCACTCTCAACAGGCATTCGTGTCCACTCATAACATTATACTTTAAAGTCAAATGAAAATATTATATTTATTTGAATTGGAAGCACATATAGTAGGAAAAGAAAGAGAGAAAGGAATTATTTCTAACAAATATGCCAATAGTATATGTAGCCAGTATATGTGCTTTCAACCCATATTTCTTCGTCGATTTTCTACGGCGATTCTTAATAATATTATTTCTTTGTTATTATAAGGTAAGGTACCTACATACATATCCTTCTTTCGTATTTCGAAAGATGATTTATCAGTGCCATTTCTGTACACGATCGAGAAAAAAACCTGCGTACATGGCACTAAGCAACATTATAGAACACGGATTTAGTTATCTTAAGCATATAAAAATAAATTATAATAATAATCATATATCTCTGAACTTATACATGTACAATGAATACTAAATTATGCGTACGTATATATATAATATATATATATATATATATATATATATAGATATATAAATATATTTTAAAGTACAATATCCCTTACA